GCCCATGACAGAAAACGGGCGTGTTGGCTGGGTGGGACAACTCAGAACTGTATGAGGGGTATCCGTCATTCACTGTGAGGCCACAAAAATAGGGATACTCTTAGAGAATGGCAATGAAGACCAGACCACTTGTACAAGGAAGGACGTTCACGGGTTGCTCGTGCGTGGGGACAGCGACTGTCTTCATGGGTACAAACGTTTGAAAATCGCCCGAGGCCAGGTCTGAGCTATGGTGCACATTGCAGTACTTCGAGCCTAAACTTCTTTGTGGTGTCGGTTGTCTGTTTGGCAGAATGTTGCCAAGCTATTATTTCTCTTTATAATTAGTGGAAATCAACAACGAAGCTGCCATGTTTGACAGCCTGCTAAACTCTACCACGGGATTGGAAGCGACACGTATTTTGTCGGCACTAGATACTAACAGCGCTACTAGCCCTGGAAAAAGAAAATGCAAAAGACTCCCACTTTCTGACTTTCCCTTGTATTTTGGTGTGTAAATATGAACATGTTTTATGCGAATCCGCCGGACATAACTGTTAAAGAGAGAATCACATTTCCGAAAATTCCGCGACGGAGAAGGCAAATAATTTGCAAAAAGCGACTGAGAGATATGTGATCATAAGCATCACTCAGCAGCTCTCTTCCTACCCCAAAAGAAAATAAAGTTGGAACGAAACATTAGTGAAAACCGCAGTGCGGTCCATTCAACACACCTGCTCACTCCAATTATGTTTCCTTTGAATGGAGTAATATCTGTTAATGAATCGAATGTGATATATCGCTTCATAACTTCTAGCTTATCATTGAATACAGTCATAGTACTTCCCATTGTGGCTGCTATGCAAAGATTGCTGTCCTGCAATAAGCGTCAGCATATCCGGGCAAAGGTGAATGAAAGGTAGCAATGCACGAACGAAAATTACCAAAGTTGGCCAGAAGATCAAGATCTCAACACGATGAGAATACAACTGAAATACACAAAAATTCCAACCTTCTCGCAGACGCAAATTCTCCGTATGGGCTCTTCGTCTATCTTTTTAGACTCTGCGAGAGAAGAGCCACTTTCCACATCCCATTCATGCACGATACCGTCTCCACCTGTAATCTTCTTGAACAACATACTTGCACAAATTCTACTACACATAACTTTGTTATATTCACTGACCACTTGAGAACAGACGGTTGCCATGAGGTACAATAGAACCAACGTAAGCAGAATGCCCGAGACAAAACGACTCTATGATATAGGCCTAAAATGATGAAGGATTTAGTTGGAACATTCGCTTCTCTCCTTCCAATAGCTGCCCAATCCCTAAAAATCATATTTCAGTAAAATGTTTTGTCGCAGAGCAACTGACCTCTGGATATCGCGAAACTCGGATTTTTTCATCGCGATCAGCAACAAGTAAGCGCCGACCATCGTTGGAGATCGCAACGTCAAGAACCATGGATATTGCACCCGTAAGAGGTTCGCCCTCATACGAACTCGTTTCTCCTGAACAACAAATCGTTGTGAGTAAAAAAGAGATCGACCATAGATTTTATCAACAATATTCACCATTTCAGGGAGCATTCAACACGAGTCTTCCAACAAAGTCATTTCGAATCCTTTTATTGAGTAAGCTAACTAACAGAGCGGTTCAGGTAGCTTCAAGGTTGGGTTTAGCACCTGGACTGCAACATGTACAATGTGCAAACAACTGCATTCCCGTTCCGTCTACACAACGCGGTTGGGGAACACTAATAGTCATGCAGACGGTGGTGCAAGGTCGAGTGAAACTCGTATTGTTGTATACCATAAAACCGTCCCGACTCCATCATTATAAACGTGGAACCTCCACAGTAAGGCTGCGTTCACACTTTGCGTCAGCGTTTTGAGCGTCAGAGTACGACAGCGTTTTGATGACCAGGAAAGTAAACATGTTGATCTAGCGTTTCGCGAGTAATTTTGAATTATTTGTGGGCAGTTGCTGAAAACTCTGATGTACGCTGGAAATACTAGATCAAAATATACAGTTTCGTAGTCGCTCAAAACACTGACGCAGAGTATGAACGCAGTCTGAATCTTGTTATAAGGCACGGTGTAAATACAGGAACAGTGGAAGAGTGAGTGGAGACAAAAACGCACCATTTATATCCGTATAACCGCATTTACTTGGTGGAGCGACGGTATACCTACATACATGGCCAGCTCGATCCCCCACTACAACGTGTGAAGTGTCCTAAATCAGTCAGAAACACGCTGATTGAATGCAGAACATTAAGCACCCCACTTACCTTATCAAATGTCATTGAAGTTGGTGCTTTTGGAATCCGGAACCCTCTTCGAAAAGCTAATGTAGGTAAGTCGAGAATAAGCACCGTCTTCGCAGACGTAGCAACAGACAGTAATGATCCACAACTTGATACCGTAGAACATAAAATCTGAGTAAATAATAGATAAGCCTTTGATGATGGCTAGTCTCGAGATTCTTCCATCTTTAAAGCTGTTTTTGGATATGGGAGCGTTGAGCAGTGGAACATGTCAATGCGTAACAGTCACGTATAGCTGCATTATGCGACAGGGGAGAATCGAAGCACAGGAGAAGGCGAGAACTGGGAAAATTGCGTAAAAGAGTGGACCAGATGTTTGTTAACTGTGCCGAACGCGGTGATGGAGAACTGAAGATTAAGGAAATCGGAGGCCAAATAAAGCTATCTAATCGTTCTCGCGAATCCAGAACACTAGATTGACCGTAAATTGCTTTTTGTGAACTTTGTTCATCTCCAAATTCCAACACTTGCTCGAATCTCAACATCGCAAGGTAGCCCTAGTGTGCGCTTCATACTTTGCTGCAGCGTTCTGTCAGCTTTTGGACGTCCGCCAGCGTTTCCAACGACTATGAAAATATAGGTATCGATCTAGCGAACTTTCGCCAGCGTATTCAGCGATAATCGTTTCCCTCGCTTTCTTAGTTAGGCATTGTTCACAGTCTGAGACCCTGACGAAACGGCGGTTCGGCGAAAAGCAAAAAATACTCATTGATCGGAGAATCGCCAACCGCCCCGTTCGACGAACCGCCGCGGTTCAGCGGTTGGGCGAAAAGCAATAGATACGTATCGATTTCGCAGGCTCCGCCCTAGAGAAAAACGCCAGGGTGGTCGGCCTAGCGTTTTTCGCCCAACCGCTTCGCCGAACCGCCCGTCGATACGTATCAAAACCGTTTCGCGCAACCGCCAGACTCTTCGCCCAACTACCATCGAAAGCTATTCGCGAAAGTATTTCTTTCTAAAGAAACGATGTGCCGCAGACTGTGAACACTGCCTTACTCAGGACGTCCAAAACGCTGGCGGACGGCCAAAACGCCAGAACGAATAGCTAGAATCTTTCAGTCGATGGAAACGTCGATGCATGCTCAGAACACTAAATGGTACCTATACTTTCCTAGTCGCCAAAAACGCTCAAAACGCTGCAAAAGTATGAACGCACTCTTATCGTAAGAACGAGTGACCAAACAAACAGTCTGCGCACCATTTCCATATGCATGCGTGGGAAATGTAAAACTGACAAAGTTGACAGGTGAATGTACACGAAGTGATAACTCTGGGTTGTTCACATTCGCTCGTTTCTAGTCACCTTCATACCTGGATGTCGGCATCGTCGATTCTCTTCGATTCTGACTCCTGCTTCGTTTTCTTCAGATTTTTCCTTCCGAGGCAGTGGTAACGAGCTCGATATCTCTGTCACGTCTAACTCACCCTGAAGGACTCGTTTCAATTGCCAAAAAAATTGAATGCAAAGACATGAAAGTAGAAAAGTACCGACTTCTATGCACAATCCGTCCGCCGATATCTGCGCAACAATAACATGTGAAGATGCACATATCACCAAATTATCTCCAACCCCATGCACAGTCGCCATCGTGAACGGGCAGAGTCTGCCCAAGCAACGTTGCAGAAAGAAATTGAATCTTGCGATTATTCTCCTACGGTGTTCGCATTACTGTGCGATTCACCAGCTATCAGCTGATGCGTACTTTCACGCATACAGTACTCCTCACCACACCGTGTTAAATTCAGCCGGTTTACATCGCTGATTTTATCCATAATAGGAACCAGCTCTGTGTAATGGGGAACAGGTATCTTCCGTATTCCAATGGTGCAACACGGTTTGATTGTTTCGGGATGGTCTTTCCTTTTTGTCCGTTGTTTTGGTTCCCACCTTCTGTTGTCCTTTGTTGTTATGATACGCTTGGGGAATGCTTAATCTTTGTTTATTTGTTTGCCATTTATTTTCATGTAGATCTGGTTCTAATAGGTTATGACGAGCATTTTGGCAGGTGTGGGAAGGCTACTGAATTTTTTACTTTCTCACTTGCAACTAAGCTTGAGCGCGTATTGTTGTACAATTGATAGTCAAAAGTTTCTCTGCTACACTAAGAAAGCTTCTTATTTCGTTGTCTTTCCACTGCTCCAAAGTAATACTGTGGAACGCTGCAGTATATTTTTCAAGATGCTTTATGAAACTTTGCTACTACTGATTGTACGGCACTGCGACATGTAGTAACTGTGAACAAACCCTCGCCAGCGCTAAATTGAGAGCTTTCAATTAGCATCTTTAGCGCTTCTTGGTCCTGGGTAGCACAAAACAGTTGATCTCTCATGATCCTTTACTTCTGCTAGCTGAGATAATTTATTTGGTAGAAAATGAAGAAACAAAGAAAGTTCCACAATCCTCATGTTTTGCAGTATGAATCCGGCCTCATCTAAAGTCCACAGCGCTTGTTTCAACGCCCAACAAGATGGTTTCTCTGTGGCGACAGATTCGGGTATACGTTTCTTTAATTCTCATCCACCTGTGTTGTTACGCAGCTTCAGCAGAGAACAAGTTGGTGGAGTCAAGGTGAGTGGTCCTTGTGCTTTGATGTTTAATTTATGTTTATATTTTAAAGTAGGTGGTGTGTAGAAAGTGGCACCGGGCAATACGAACCTGGTCCCTGGGGTTCATTTTCGGATTGACTCCCACTTGAAGACAAACTCCGCTATAGTAAGAAGCCGATAGTCGATAAATGGCTTTTGAGTGAGAAAAGCAAAAAAAAACGGCGGAGAATACCCTTACAGGGACTTCGCAGCCTTTCTGGACGAGTTCTCCGCACCTCCTATTTTATGCCAACAATGGGATATCCTGCCGCATGTGGCTCACTAATCATCATCCACGGTTAATGCCATTTATCAGTAAAAAAGCGCTAAAACTGAACCTGTGACAGAAAATAGCCTTTCACTTTGGTGGGTGGGGCAGTTAGGGAGACGTCAGAACTGCCAATTATGAGGGCCACAGCGCCTTCGTTACTTATTGTAAAGCCGCGGAAGTGGTAAGATCAAGAGAATGAGACAGATCCTTATGGAGGAGGGCGCATACACATTGCTTGAGTGCGGGGACCGTCTTTAAGCCATCCCTCCGGGTGGCTGTTTGGTACCAGATTCGTTTGAGCCTTGACCTCTACATCGGCTGGCATCTTGAAACGCTACCACGACCCCGATTAGGAGCGGACTGCGTGATACATTCCAAAAGGAACCTCTCAACTAAATAAGCCTGTATTCATTTCTGTATCTGCTTATGTCTTTTAGGTAGTCGCCATTCTTCACCGATCTAATATCATTGCTTTCGTTGGTGGAGGCAGTTATGCGAAGTATCCCTCGAATACGGTGATGATTTGGGATGACAAGCAACAAGAACTGGTTCTTGAGGTATTTCTTCTATTTGTTCAAGTTATTTTCATGGAATCAACGGTTTAATCATCAAAATGCGTTGCTTACAAAATTACTTCTTATAAACTTCTGAGGTGGTGCTTATCCTTCACGAAACCCTACAAGCAGAGAATATGCGAAACAAAAAGGAAGATTGATCACATTAACAGGGTTTTCTGGAAAGACAAATTTTTCGATTTTTCATTGATTCCCACGCTGTGTCATAGGTTTCAGTAATCACGTAATTTCTCTGCGGGAGTCAGGTAAGAAGGACTGCTCTTCCATGGGTGAAAGCACGACGCCGATTTTACAAGAGCAGCATCGAGCATCATTTCCCATGAGTGGAGCCTTGGTACTGGAGCGACGGCAGTAGTCCTCAACATAAACAGCACATTGGGGAGGATACCACCATGGGTACCTTCCGTCGCTGCTTCGTTCGCTTCGCTCGAGTGTACACGGTTTTCGAAGACTAACTCTTTTGGGACGCCTCCACGCAAAGGAAGCCCCTACCCCCATTCTCTACGTGTCAATAAAGACCGGAAGCTATCACGCACAGTTTTGCGACAAGGCTCAGTCAGCAGCAGTCAACAGCCTGCAAGCTGACTTCGTCTACAGAAGGGGTGGACTTGGTGAAAACCTCATTTATGTCGGATGGCATGTAATGAAGTCAAGTATTCGTCTGATGGTCTCTCCCCCGCTCACACGTAAGGAGTTTCCAGAAATCCGGTTACAGGAGACGAAAGATGGTCCTCCGATTTGCCTCACTCGTGCCTCGAGGAGGAAAGGCAAACACAGGCGTGCCCCCCAAGAAAGTCCAGTGTTGCGTTAGGATCGAATGGGGGTATTCCCACAGGTTACACGGTCAATATTTTCGCCATAGCTTTAAGAAGAGAGGGAAGCTTATTCGAGAAAAGCGGCTGAATCCTTCAGTGCACCTCCATCAGGGTGACGTCAAGCCACCACGTAGCTGAAGACCCACCCCCACGAATTCGCAGCTAGGCTGGGGGACCGCACTCCATCCACCTTTTTCTCGTGACAGAGCTTCTTCTGATATCCGTTTATTGCCCCTCTTGAAGGCTTTCTTCGCTGAGAGAGCTTCTATCAGGCTTGACGACGTAGGCTGAACGTAGGTCGCCTACTTCTTCGACTTCCAGTCTACCCAGTCTTGGAGGAAAGGGTTCGCTGGCCTGCCCTAGAGTTGTACCCCAGTGGTTATTACTAACAATGGTGGCAGTACTGCTTGATTGATTCTGCTTCAAGCTGAATCGAAAAGAGACAAGTCAAAGTACTATCAAAACTTTTCGGTCGGTTAATGTACGTAACGTAGTGGACAACAAGAGAATCGGAGAATGTGGACCAAAGGTAAGATCGGAGTTTTCATTTTGACTCATGGAATCTTAACATTCGCAAGGTATGATGAGACCTTATCGATGAAGAGTTCCTTACGGAGAGAGCGTCTGTGGAAATGTCTCCTGATTCACTGGGCTTTACTTCTTCGAACAATGCTTAGTATAAGTAATAAGTATAAGTTTATTACGTGTGCATAAGGCATACGTGAGAAAAAAAGATCGGAACACATTACATATACAAGTTCCAATATTGATATATTAGTTACAATTTTTCAAAAACAGTAATTAACCAGCAAATCACCAACTTATCGACCAGTCTCAAGAGAGCCTCAATAACCTGTTGGAAATACGGTGTCTGAACTGAGCATGTGACAAAGTGGCAGGTATGACTTTTGTTAACTTCAAATACGCGCTTTCCCGTTCTGAAGGTGAAGCTCTTCGCACTTAAATTAGTCTGATTTCTATAATTGTTAATTATAATTGATAACTATTTTTATTTTTATTAATTTCTTTTATCTCTCCCCATGTGAGAAATGGAGACGTTGGAATATTCTGTTTCTTATGTCTTATGTATTCAATTTAGTTATTGTTTCAAGGTTACTATTGCTGGTGGGCCAATTCTGAACGTTCTACTTGCATATTCGAAATTAGTTGTGCTGCAAGAAAGAAGGATTCATGTGTTTCAATTTCCAAGTCCATGCAAACTTATTAGAACGGAAGAAATACGGTTAGCAATCTTGCAAGCGATTAATCTCTTCATTTATTGCCCTCCTGGAACTTATTCATTTTTTCAGATGCAATCCAACAGGATTAGCGGCTATCGGTTGTGATTTCAATGGCTCTTCTCAAATGTTAGCCTATCCTGGCTTCAAGGTTACGACTTGTATTTCATTATCCTATTTTATTCTAATTTTATCGTGTTTTGATTCGATTATCTTTGAGTAGGTGGGATTTCTCCAAATTCTATATGTTCAAGTTTAGGTTGGCAGTGTTCAGCTTGTGAGTTTGAACAATATGAGTGAGTGCGCTTCACTTTCACCGCGTGGCATCGACGCCCATTTTACCGAAATCACTCAATTAGCACTAAATAATCAGACAACGCTTCTGGCCACTGGTTCAGCCAAAGGGACCGTTATAAGGTGCTCCTTGTTATGGTCGATTTGCTGGTTACTTACATTTACCTTCACTGTGAACAGCGTTGCCTGCTGTTGGTCATGTTACTTTTCGACTACTTTTTTAGGTTTCTTAATGTACTTCTTTCAGAATCTTCGATGTCACCTCTCCCACAACTCGTTGCCTTATGGAACTTCGCCGCGGAGCAGATCCATGCACCCTCCACTGTTTACAGTTCTCTCCATGCTCGCGTTTTCTTGCCGCTTCCAGTGATAAGGGGGGTATCCGCTTTTCCAAGCCTTCAACGTTTATGGTTCTGATACTTATAGGTACTGAAGGTTTGTTATTATCATATTTCAGGGTACAATACACATCTTCGCTGTTAGGGATTCTGACGATGCCAAGAGAGGTATTTTGCACAAGGTACAGTTTCGTTCGATCACTTCGTTACTTCCTTGTCTCAGTTTTTCCTTTTCTTATCATTTCCTTCCTGTCTCAGTTTTTCCTTTTCTTACCATTTCCTTCCTTCAGTTGCATGTTTCGCTTCCAGGTTGGTTTATCCAAAGGCGAAAAACGAAGTTCCGTTCAAATTTCGCTCGAACCACGAGTGCTTGCTGTAGGATTTATTAAAGGTTTGCATTTCAAATCCATTGTTACGTTTTCATCTTGTGGGGTTCGAATGTAGGTGAGCACTCGGATAGGAACTGTCGGTGTAGCTAACTTGGATTGCTCAATTCTTTACATCGTATGGTCTTGAATAGACATTCCCAGGGAGAGAGAGAGAGAGAGAGAGA